AGCTCAGCAGAATATTTTGTAAAATGTCACTTTTTTATTTCATGTTTTACATCTAATTACAGTTCTTTGTGCACTTTCTGGAATACATTCGCTTAAAGTGACCCTGTTATCACTTCACCTACTCTGCTTACCCTGTAAACTTTTAATGTGACACTAAACTCAGGAGGTAAACCTTACAAAATACATTCATGTGCCTAATAATAAAAATGTATCTCCAGAAGGAAGGACAGTGTCAGCACCAATTCAGAGATGATTTGAGGATCTACAGCCGACTGATACACAAATAAGATACATTGTTGTTAATAGTTAATAGTGGAGGTACTTGAATGTCATGATTTACCTCCTGAGTTTAGTGTCACTTTAAGCTGTTAACCAGTTAGGCATTTCAAGCCAAAACGAGTGTTCAGTACAGAGCGTGTCTGTCTGTCTGTTGACTGTAGTGCAATGATTCTTTTAGTTTACAGACATGCCTTGGTCAGTGAGAGGATTCTAAGGGGCACCATACAAGTTACAATCTGTGCAACCTTTGTACAGTCAACTTTAGATTTACCATAACCATGTAGTACAGGGATGGCCATTTCATTTTTTCAATGACAAATTGTGACTGTTGTGGAGGGCCAAACCAATAGGGCCTACTGGTTGTTCCAGTGTCTCATATGATCAACACACGTTACCGCGCAGCATACGGGATCCGTTGCATTGCCACTCATTTGAATGTCACCCCAAACACACAATGCGATCGACCGTGTCGCAATGCCCTTAGTTGCGGTGCAGTACACGGGAGGCTGCAGTATACGGGAGGTGTGTTGCATTGCCATTCATTTGAATGGCACCCCAGACACACAATGTGATCAACCATGCTGCAATACCATTCGTTGCGGTGCAATTGAAAAAAGTACTGCGCTATGTTTTTCAACCACATAGCAACGCACAGTATCGCAGTACCACACATAGCGGCACAGTCGATCACATTGCGGGTGGAAGGTGCGTTTGGGGTGCCATTGCAATGAATGGCAAGGTACCGCCTGCATGTTGGCGCACGGTACAAAGGGAACACCAGAGCCCAAGAGGTGGTCATGCAGGAAAGGACAGAGGAGGAGGACTGGGTAAAAATTGGGACAGGAAGACTCACTGGTTGTTAGGACCGCCCAGCGCTCAGAGGACCATGTTTTTGCTGTCATTGTTTGCTATTACGCCAGCAGTCCTAGCAACCAAGGACTGAAGACACGGACTGATCGCTGACCTTTGCTGAGCTTTGACTTGCAGTGGATATGCTAGCCTTGGAGGCCAGTTCATCCACTATCAGCCAGCCATAAATGAGCGCAGGTCAGCGATTATCTGTGTGCGGTCCACGGGCCAGACTACCCCAGACCAAGGGCTTAATATAGCCCATGCGCTGTACAATGCCCAGGTCTGATGTAATTTGAAGACCTACCTGATTTATCTAATCTCTGTGTAACCAATCAGGTAGACCCTTCTACTACATAGTCATTGGTAGATCTAAATGATATTGTGCAATCAGATTGTAATGTGTGAGGTGAGCTTAAGGCCGGTACACGGTGAAAGCTGTCACAAAGCAATCTTTGTTCCTTCCATCAGTCCACCTATAGACAGAAATAAATGGCTGTTTTTAAAGGGGTGGTTGCTTTTTATCTAAGCAAACTGTCTTATTTTTGAAAAAAATTTGAGCCATAAGTTCTTAAAATCCTAAATTCCTTATTGGATATTCTGGACACAATCATTTTATCCTACACGGCGAAAAAAACACCTAACAGCACTCTGAGGGGCGAAAGCGACTTTTCCCTTTCTGACAATTTTTCTGTTTAATTAGATGATATAATTTAAAGGCCCGGTAAGCTGGAAACAAGATG